TTTTTTTTTTTTTTATCTTTGATCAAAATTTCAATACATTTATTGTTTCATAAAATATTATTTTAGTGAAGGTGCGGCAAGAGATACCGCCATAAGACATCACCGATGACGCCGCCACCCGAGCAACGCTGTAGGCCTATATAGTACTGTTTTTAAGGGGGCGGAGACTTAAAAATGGACTATCAATGTACATGTACTAGCGGACCTGGACTGGGTTGATCACTGGCTACCAGGTACATCCTCGATATCCAGGGGTTACGCTCACTTTCGCTCTCTGCACAAGTGAAGTAACCCCTGGAGTGCCGAGGATGCCAGGTAGCACAATTGGTTAACTGCATGCGTCTAGAATTCGGAAGTCCATTGTCCAACCTAATTGACTTCCTCCTTTGATTTCAATTTTATGTATCTCTGTCACATTAAACTTAAAAGGAGATATATGTTTCGGAGTAGGAGGACCCGGGTTCGAATCCAGGTCTAGCTGGAGATATTCAATGCGGGATAGGCAAGTCGGCTTTTCCATATATTCTCATTCAGTTGTTCAATTAAGGAACATAGGAATCTATTAGCTGGGAAATTGATACAAATACACAGATACTAGTTAGTCATCAGAATGTCAGAGATTTTAACAGGTCGTGAGGATCACGGAATTATAGGTAAGATTCTTAATTAGTCTGTGCCTGAACATATATCACATCTTCTGTCTTAGATATATATCTTATATGTATCTGGTTGAGCCTAGTTCATTTGCATGTTTTTTCAATAAATTTGATTTGAAATGAATCTGAAAAGTTAAAGAATTTGAGAATGAAGTTGATCATCAATGGATAAATCAGCTTCCGAAAATATTGTATCACGGAACTTTATATGTATGACAATTGAGTATCTATGATAGAGTATGTATGTTGCCAGTGTGTGTAGGTTAAACATTCATCCATAACATTAATTCAAACATATATACATATTTTCCATACAAATGTCCATCTATTTCAATAAATAATTAATTATCGATAATTTTGTAAATATATCTTATTATTCTGTGTAAATGTATATATGATGTACCGATTCAGGAGAAGACTAATATAGACACTGCCTGTTGTCTAATCCTTTTTCAAATACAATAACATTTGTTGAAACCAATGATCAAAGTATTGTAGCTTAAGTACATATTTCAACTTCATGTCGGAATAAACCTGGGATTCTTTGTGAAGTTCTGGGCCTTTATTCATGTAGTCCGAATTATTCTGACGTTTTATCGACTTTTTATTATATCGGTCTGTCGTCGATTTACGACACACCGATATAAAAAAAAAAAGTCGATAAAACGTCAGAATAATTCGGACTAGTATTCATTAAACCGTTCTCGTGCACAAGCATGGATTCTGTGCTCAAACTGAATTTCTTGTTTCCGTTATAAGTTAATAAAAAAAACCCTTATTTTGTCAATGATTTGAAAAATAACCCATTGAAGAGGCTTAAAGCCGAATACTGTTTTAGTTTAAACATATTTTATTTTACAAATATACAAATGGATCGGACAACAAGTTATTACAACTTAATAGAGTCCTCTCCTCAATACATATGGTAAAAATAGTGTATATGTTTTTGGGGAAGGGGAAAGATAGGTTGAGAAAGGAAGGAACTGTGGGGTGGGAGGGGGTGGGAGTGATGAAGGGGAGGGGTGTTACCTAGAAAATTAAACTTGTAAACTGAGAAATTGATCCGCATTTGAATCAATTATAAATTATACAGATTTCATGACATGCATCCTGGTAGAGTACTTTCAAAACGAACAGAATCAATGTAACAAATAAATCAGGCAAAATAATGAAATACAATTTCATAAACACATATAACAACTTAAATAAGAATAGAAAATTAATTATTACTTTCAAAACCTATTGCTGGATTTGATGTAATGATGCACATGTCTGAAGATACTTATGTTGTTTTCTACCGAAAGTTGACTATTTCCAAACAAAAGTAGTTCTAAATTAAAATCAACATGCAAGGCATTCAAATTTAGGAGCAGGGTATGTCTTTCGTTGTTAAAAAGTAAGCACTCACAAAAAAAGTGAAAGGCATTTTCACAGGGATGGCCACAATAACAAACTGGACTATCAACCAGATTTACTCTAAAAAGATCATAGTTAAGTGGACTACACTGATGTCTAAGTTTAGTATGCAAAATGTTCAATTTACGTTCTCCGAAACCTAAGTAAATTGGTGGAGGAGATTGTACATTTGAAGTTAATGAGTTTTTAAAAGAATGTAATGAGGGCANAACGTTTGGAGATGTTCCAGATCCGAGTACCTCAGTGAGGAGATCACTGTTTTCATAGTTTCAACAATGAGGGTTACAAAAACACACCCTACTAGTCTATATTGTAAAATTTGATACTTTTTATATGCAGAATTTACTGTCAAATTAGTACTTCTGTAAAAAGGGAAACTTGATCAAGTTGGCAGCATTAAATAGGGAAAAGAGTAAAACGAAAACATGTTATCACGATATCAAACAAGGAACCTTAAATAACGAATGAAATTATGTAAAAATAATTGATTGATTAATTGATATTGACCGCGCGTTCGGTTCGGTACTTGGTGTTCGTTCCTCTCTAATTAATAATGGGATTAGTTTAATCAAATTAACAACATGTTGTCAATCAGGTTAATGTTGGCAGGTACCCCCTTCAGCAATCTAAGCGTGGCGCTAATTGGCAAAACTAAATCCCAAGCATGGGTAGGTTGAAGCCGCCATATGCGTACTCTTGTGTACACATAGATCGTGATGTCATTGCTGAAAGGCTACGACGAAAGCTGTGTTTACACAGATTTTTACGAAATGGGAAAGAGAAATGGAACTTGTAACATTCATTTATATTTTGATTGTTTTTTTTCTATGTCCCGAAACGACTTGAGTAAGTCCCGAAACGACTTAATTTTGTCCCGAAACGACTTCTGGACTCCCGGGCCAAAACCACTTGTTACCGAAACGACTAGCATTCGTATAAACAATCTAACTTGGCTTTTGATCAAGTGTTTTCACTGGTACTTTGTTTAATCCACATTAACATGTTTATTGGTCACAGTGACTTGCCCGCCTCTGCAGGTGTTACAAGATGAGTAGGTAGTGATTCTACAACTTTCTTTGAAGCAGGTGGAATTTTTCCCTCTCCTCCAAAAACCCTGCAAAATACAATGAAATAAAAATACTTACATTAAACACTGAACATTGTGCAATTTTTCTAAGACTCATACACACTTCTGCAAAGCATAATTTTTCTGGGCTCACTTTGTATTTTAACTCAATTGTTATTACATTCTTTCCTACTTTAGTACAATTGGGGGATTGAAGAACTTTCGAATGCTTCATTACAATTGAAACTCCTATATAAGTTTCCAACAAACATTTCGTTAAAGATCACTAAAAAATAACAGAGGTTCTCCTTTTAAAGGAGGGAAGTCTTGAACAGAACATATAACTGGGAATTATGTTTGGCACAATCACTGATCTACTCTGAACTTGCTGAAACTTAGGTACATATATATTCACAATCGCTTCCATTGTAAAATTACCTGCCATATTCTAAATCCCATTCAGCTGCCATTCCACTGTCCAGGAGAAGTCTGAAACACGACATGTAAACCTACTTGTAATTTATATCTTTTGTTAATATCTGGTGTCATATTTAGGAAAGAAAAAGACAGAAAGAGTTCATTTCAGCCTTAAATACCGAGTACATTGATTAGCAAGTCCAATCGTCCTCAAATTTATCTGCTCTGTACCCAAAATCTGTAAATATTTTTAAAAAATAATTCTGATGAATTAATCAAAACGGTTTGATAGTCAAATAACTAATTAATAGAAGCAGATCTAGGACAACCTGATATTTACCCCGAAAAAGTATCAAATGTCATTTCTGGGCGGTCACAACTGTAAAATATTCTGTAAACAGGTAAATATTACCTTGCCATGTGTAACATGTGATTAGGTTGTTCTCCATCTTTTAAAGGTTCGCAATCATGCTCATCAAAATAAGACGCCATTATACACTGATGATTTCTGTGAATCTGAGAACAAACTCTCCTTATTGCTCCTGTCTCCGGCTTCTGATGATTCTAGATCTTTTTGTATTGACAGTCATCACAAACCGGAAGTGTTGCTGTAAGGAAAAGTGCGTTCGTTTTGACTTTTTCATATTACCGTAGTTACAAGTTATCTCCCTTATATTATATATCTTAGCTAATAATAGTTATGGTAAAACAATAGAAAACAAATGGGTTATATTTTTATTAGTTTAAACATATTTTATTGTACAAATATACAAATGGATCGGACTACAAGTTATTACAACTTAATAGAGTCCTCTTCTCAATACATATTGTTAAAAAAGTGTATATGTTTTTGGGGAAAGGGAAAAGATAGGTTGAGGAAGGAAGGAACTGTGGGGTGGGAGGGGGTGGGAGTGATGGAGGGGAGGGGTGTTACCTAGAAAATTAAACTTGTAAACTGAGAAATTGATCCGCATTTGAATCAATTATAAATTATACAGATTTCATGACATGCATCCTGGTAGAGTACTTTCAAAACGAACAGAATCAATGTAACAAATAAATCAGGCAAAATAATGAAATACAATTTCATAAACACATATAACAACTTAAATAAGAATAGAAAATATATAACAACTTAAATAAGAATAGAAAATTAATTATTACTATCAAAACCTATTGCTGGATTTGATGTAATGATGCATACTGTTTTAATGTCTACATGTCACTTTTTGATCGTAAGCGAGTTACAAGAAAGATAGTTTGAGCACAAAATCCATGCCTGAGCATGAGAACGGTTTCATGAATACGGGCCCAGGTTTTGACCTGCAGCGGAAAGTCCGAGCCGCGTGATTATGAAGCTCGGTTTTCCAATACTCGCCGATAACATTTCCGGAAATAATTTTCCGTCTACCGAGTCTAAAATTACAACCCAGCTCTTAGCAGAAAACATGGCACCCACCAGTAAGGCGAAGTCCTCTCCGCAGACACCAAAGCAAGATGATAGCCTGTCCAAGATTTACTTGGTGGCTTATAATGTTGCTCAGATAATGGGGTTAGTACCTTTGTTTTAAAGCAATGTTTATGTTTGTAATTAATTGTCAAGCTGCAAGTAAAACGTTTTTTAACCAGCGTGAGAGTGGCCCACCGGCATACAGCGTCATGTTTTTGATAACAAGTTGTTACGGCAACAGGATTGAAGTCGTTCTGGGAACTTTATTCCGATGGTTTCAGGATATATGCCAAAATACGTTACAAAACCATTAACCGCACACTCGGCACGATAGCATGATCTAATAAATACTGCAGACAACGGGTTGTATATCGCAGGCGTGTCTTTAGATAACTGTCTTACTCTCAGCAGGTCCAGTACACCCACTCTGCCGATTGAGCTATATAGCTGTAAAGGTCTTTTGAGCTATTTTCATGTGATTTTCTTTTTTAAGGAAAACGAAACAAAGTCGCTCTTAAAAGAAGATTTATTCATTAGGTTGATGACAAAAGACATTAAATATAAGTATTCTTTTTAAAAAATAATGATGTAAAAAAAATCGAAAATTTAACATTTATGAAAAATGAAAATAAACATCTAAATGTATGCTTTTTGTAGTCAACATTACTTACACCTTATAGTTTTATGCGACTTTGTTTTAATTTAATGGAAATTGAAATCTGAGAAAATATAGCTCAATACAGCTATAATTTATAGGTGAATATAGCTATATAGGTCTTTATAGCTATATAGCTCAATCGGCAGAGTGTACTAGACCTGCTTAGAACAAGTCACGACGTCCACTAATAAATCCCAATTAACATACACATGTTCATAGCACGGTGCGCATGCATAGATGTGCCAATAATCAAACGCATGCTAGGTTATTATTATTTTACCGGTGTGCCCTACCATAAGGTGTACCACTCATACTCTAGATAGTCCAGTTTCGTACCACATTAAGATTTAAGAACCATGCATGATGCATGCATCCCTCTGGACAAGCATTGCTGAGCAAGAATGATTTATAAAAGTTATTGAATTTTGTATCATAATTATTGTACAATGAACGAAATATTTTATACTGTAATTATTACTAATTAACTTATTATATCTGCTTATACTGCCTTGAGACACAGGTACTTAACGCATAGTTAAAAAACCAAGTATAGTAATGTAAATGTGGGTTTGTTTTAACCACATGTTGGTATATATGGTAGACCTTCATATGTGTTTGTTTTATTTTTAACCACACCTGAAGTACCTGCAAGCTTTAAAAGTTTTCTGAGCTACGTTGTATAAATACAAGAATACCTGCTCAGTGCTCATATCAGCATCATAGTTTAATTTTAAAAGTTTATCAGTTTTTATTGGATAGTGGATATCCAATGAACTTGGATATTTTTAACAAATCTGAAACATCTTGTCTTATTTACGATGTCAACAGATTAACTCATTCACCCCTGAAGACACATTTGAACTCTTCCAATTCAAAGGTTGGAATAGCTCATTGTAAAATTTCAGGGGTGAATGAGTTAAGAGACATAATGTTGTGTGTCATAACACAAGGAAGCTTGGCTTTTCAGGCTAGATGAGCAAAGCATTATTCCTTTTGTATGTAAAACATCTATTTAAGATGCCTTTGATTAGGCCATATATATATACACATAGAAAGTTTTCTAATAATTTGGTATCATTGCATGTAGTTAAAAATGGAATGTTTTAAGAATTCTGATAAAACTTTGCTATTCCATTTAAAAGTATTTCTTGTTTTGGTCAGATGGAGTGCAATTATGCTGGCAATATGCAACCACTGGGTGACCAATAAGAGTGTGACCAGGGTTTACGAGGATGTGGCGCCACTACTTAACATCTTCCAGACTGCAGCTCTTCTAGAGGTTTGTGTAGCTTGTTAGACTGGTTTCCTTTTTTCAGTGTGTTACTTGTGGGAATAACCAATGTATTTTATTTCATTTGAATTGTAGAAAAAATGAAAAATGAATTGTGGGGGATTTCCTAAAGATGAGTATATTTCACTTGTTTGACCCCTGGGACTAGTAATACCGGGCTCCAAAGAGGAAAGTTATCTAATTTTTTGCTTTAAGATGCTAATATCCCCTAATTGCCTGCAAACATTTCTTAATTGAATGAGGTTGATTTGACCCCTGCGGTCCTAAGAAATGGTACAGCGATATATTATCATATTCTATGGTGTAGTTTTCATAAATTGTTAAAAATTTGTTTCTAGGTTTATTAAATGCTTATAGTTGAATGAAAATTAAAGTATTGTCTAATTACACCCTGTAATATGACGTATTGCTTATTTCAAAATCTGTTAAAATGGCAACTCAATGGAGGCCCCTTATTAGTTGAAAGCCAGATATTGTGGTCCCAGTTGGGGTAGAATATAGATCTTGTCACGATTTGAGGAAATTTCATTTAAAGATGTACTAATGCATTCAGTTGTAATGACTTAAATATAAAACCAGGTGAGCGATACAGGTCCAATGGACCTCTTGTTTTTTATACTATAAAGGATACCCCTACCTCTGCCAAAAACAGATGATTTAAACAGGTTTTTACTAGCAAGACATAGGAAGACAACAGCTTTAATAAATTATTTCTGAAAATGAAAAAACAAAAATGCCAAAAACATCAACAGAGTTCTGATAGTAAAAATGCAACCTACATGATTGACAAACCTTGGACTTCATTGCTTACTGTGTCTCTAACCCACTCAGATGTATGAACAGTGGTGTACCTTGACTTATTACCACTACAGTTATAGCCAAAAGGAAATTAAGGGGAGGTTACTGTTTGTATGATAAACTACAGTTTTGCTTTTAGTGGAACAAAGGTCTTTCAACCCTCTGTGCTTTCCTTATTATTACAGCAGGCTTGCAAACTACACTCTGCAGATGGAAAGAACAATCTTTTAAATTTTGGAGGAGGGAGTAACTAAAAATCTGTTCATTAATAAAGAAAATAAATGAATGTGTGTAGAAAACGAATCATTCTTTTTTTCCAAAATTTTTCGGTATCTGGGTTATTTTGATTTCAGTTTGAAAATTAATTGTTATTAAAAGTAGCTTTGAATGTTAAATACAATGTTAACAATTATTGTCTGTAAAGTATAGGTGTTATTTATGTTTTATAGATCCTCCATTGTGGTAGTTGGTCCAATAACAGGTTTTGTCTGATAAAAGTTTTGTTTATTTTTAGATCCTACACTGTGCCTTGGGTCTGGTGAGATCAAATGTCGTCCTAACAGCATTCCAGGTGTTTTCCCGTATCTTCCTTACCTGGGGCATTGCCTACAGTATTCCAGAGGTAAGAATTCTAAAACAAACACAAACCTACTAAAATATTAACATATAGAGTTGTACATTTACAAATAAATGCCACCCTACTAGCCGCCTCCTACCGTCTTGGCTAGGGAGAATTTCTCTTTAGCTCATTCGGTAGAGCGTAAGACTAGTAAGCCAGAGGTCCTGGGTTCGACTCCTGGTGGAGGCATTGAAAAAATAATGACCTCCGTTACATTAACAATGCTGAATGAATGACAAAACAGTTCACAGTTTCAATTAATTGAATCATCAATCAGTTTTTAGCAGGAATCAAATAACTTTAAGGTTAATTTGGTCGAAGTATATTCTCTAATAAGATATGAGACCCAAACATCTCATGATGGTTGTAAACATATTATATGTGTATGATGAATCATATTGTTTTAGTTTAAGTGTCGATTTTGAAAAAAACGATTCAGCACCATCCTATGGTCATATAATGTTGATAGTTTTTAGCTTACATAGTCAAAAGGACCAAAGTGAGCTTAATGTTAAACCATCATGTAGCATCATTTGTCCATCTTTCTGTCTGTCCACCTACAATTTCTTCTCAGAGAGTGATGATACATGGAGGGGCTGTCCCCAGCCTCCACCAATGCCACTACCACCCCTCCCAACCCCCACAGCTGAGAGGCAGGGTTGGGGCCATACAAGATTAATTTATCCACTATTCATCCACCCCACCCTAGAATATAAACCTGTTTGTTGAGCATAAAGAGACAAACACAACCATACTACTAGGACTTAGTCCCTGTTTTATAACACAGAAACAGTTGCGACATATCCTTATATACAATTGCTGGGCATGGAGAGAGACATACACTTGTGCTACCAGGATTGGCCCCTAGGTCTGCCCCAACCCTGAAGACTTAATCCCATAGTCATAACTTTGAAACAATGGATATCCCCATCTGATAACCATTTATACACTTGTATATAATTGCTGTGCTAAATGAGAACAAAGCTCAATACTCAAATATGACCAAATAATGACATGGAAATTACAATCAAATATGACCAAATAAGGATATGGGCATTACAATCAAATATGACCAAATAAGGACATTTATATTACAGTAATTTTGCATGTACATCAGCACAACACATCACACTGACAGTACATGTTACACATTTACAGGTAAACCTGATCGTGGTGAAAGCTTAACAGGAATACACACACATACAGATACACAAGAATATCAACGGACAATATCATCTCAACATATCAATGCAAAATATATACAAGAGGCACAGAGGGCCTGTGTCGCTCAGCTGGATATCTAAGCAATCATGGCAAAACATTCTCCAAATGAGATCCAAGGGAATATGCCAGAACCCAAGACCAATCCTTGTCGCATATCTGTATTAGGTTTTTCATGCCCAGCAATTTTATTTATGGTTATGGGGTGGGGATCTCAACTGTTTCCAAGCTATGACTCAGAAACTAGGTCCCTAGGGTTGGGGCCAGACCCCAGGATCAATTCTAATATCATGACTGCATTTGTCTCTTTATGCCCAACAATTGTATATATGGTTTAANACCCCAGGATCAATTCTAATATCATGACTGCATTTGTCTCTTTATGCCCAACAATTGTATATATAGTTTTTGGGTCAGGATCTCAACCATTTTAAAGTTATGGCCTAGGGACTATGTCTCCAAGGGTGGGGCCAGACCCTAGGGCCATCCTGGAAGCAACTGTGCATTCTTCTCTTTATACTCAGCAATTGTATATATGGTTATATGGTGGGAATCTCAACCATTTCTAAGTAATACACTTGTTTTGGCCCCACCCCTTAGCCTGGGGGTCAGCCCCACCATTTGTACAATTTTGAATCCCTGCCTCCAATGAATGCTTCCGACCAAATATGATCGATATCCATGGCATAGTTCTACAGAAGAAGTCGTTTATAGCAATATAGTCTAATTGCCCCCTTTTGGCTCCGCCCTCAGCCCCCTGGGGGGTCAGCCCCACCATTTGTACAATTTTGAATCTCCATCACCTAGGGATGCTTCCAGTCAAATATGGTTGATATCCATCTCTTAGTTTCAGAGGAGAAGTTGCTTAAAGCAATGTAGCCAAATTGCCCCCTTTTTGCCCCGCCCTCAGCTCCCTGCGGGGTCAGCCCCACCGTTTGTACAATTTTGAATCACCCCCACCTAGGGATGTTTCCAGTCAAATTTAGTTAAATTCCAATCAGTGGTTAAGAAGAAGTTGTTTAAAGAAATTGTTGACGGACGGAAGATGGACGCCACGGTATGGCATAAGCTCACCTTGATCCTTCGGACCAGGTGAGCTAATAATACACAGCATGATGTCTCAAGGAAAGCATATAATGTAGACAGAAAATCTTCTGCCAGTTACAAACTTTTGTCTTACATGGTAAATCAGTTTGTGTCCAGTGCTCATTTTGCCCTCCACATGTAATAGATGTCTTCTATTTCGTGTACAAATATTCAGTCATGATTAATTTGCCCTCATTGATACGGAGGGCTTAAATGGTGAAAATAAACCCTGTATGCAGTAAACATAGACCTGATATTTCAGAACTTGTGTACCTAGAGCAATTAAAGCTTTGCCTTAACTTACAGAAGGGCGGTACAAACTTGTTAGGGCTGTTATTTAAATGTAGTGTACCAACACATTAACTAACAAATGGTAATAGGCCCTGTTTACCTAAATCAGTCCTTGAGTTGCTGATATTAATTTTATTTTTTGAATATTTTCAGATACAGACAACAGTTGGTGTATTCATGTTTATCTTTGCGTGGACAGTTACAGAAATTGTGAGATATTCATTCTACTTCTCTGGACTTTTAGGGATGGTCCCCTATCCTCTACAATGGTGCAGGTAAGCTCACCACCAGGTACTTCCTCTTTCTATGGCTGGTGCCACTGTAAGTCATTGTTTGCCTGTAGGACCACTGTACATCATTATATTCCAGTCACATAAAGCCATTTTGTCCCTTCTCCATTACAGGTACACGTTTTTCCTGGTGCTTTATCCTGTCGGTGTGTCGGTGAGTGTCGGCTAGGGATGGACTGAATTTGCGGTTTTAAAACACGACTTTTCAAGACAGTGGTCAAGTGTCATAATACCTTGTGATATCTGAAGACAGGCTGTGTGTGCATGATCAAGTTACTATATAATTTTTAAGCATTATGTTTGTAACATGTGAAATTTAATTTTGTAAGCCAAGAATAACAGCAGATTTGTGATGGTAACACCTTAAATAGTCATAGTGAATGATACATAATGTATTTTGCAATGATACCAAATTATAAGAAAACTTTTGACCAATGATTTCTGTTCAGGGAGAACTGCTGTCCATCTTTGCCAGCCTACCGTACGTGAAGGAGAAGAAGCTGTACTCTGTGTCTCTCCCGAACAGTTACAACGTGTCATTTAGTTACTACTCCTTCCTCATATGTGCCATGTGTACCTACCTACCAGGTAAGTATAACACCTTCCTCATATGTGCCATGTGTACCTACCTACCAGGTAAGTATAACGCCTTCCTCATATGTGCCATGTGTACCTACCTACCAGGTAACTATAACACCTTCCCCATATGTGCCATGTGTACCTACCTACCAGGTAAGTATAACACCTTCCTCATATATGCCATGTGTACCTACCTACCAGGTAAGTATAATGCCACTTTCGCATATCAGTTTCAACCGGTTTGTCTGTTTATAAATGTAACATTTTCTGGTATAAATCCTGGCGGACCTGCAAATGTTTATGCAGGCCTTGCAAGGCTTTGTCAAGGCTCACCTGAAAGCAGCATCAAATACTAAGTCAGACCTTATTCATAAACGATCAACTCTGGTCCAACTGGTTCAACTGTTCGGATCGGGATAAACGAATGCAGCCAAAGTCTCATTATCTACCAAAGGTGTAAATATGAACCTCATTGTCTCCTTACCCTGTAAATATAAACCTCATCGTCTCCCTACCCTGTAAATATGAACCTCATCGTGTCCCTACCCTGTAAATATGAAGCTCATCGTCTCCCGACCCTGTAAATATGAAGCTCATCGTCTCCCTACCCTGTAAATAAGAAGCTCATCGTCTCCCTACCCTGTAAATAAGAAGCTCATCGTCTCCCTACCCTGTAAATATGACCCTCATCGTCTCCCTACCCTGTAAATATTAAGCTCATCGTCTCCCTACCCTGTAAATATGACCCTCATCGTCTCCCTACCCTGTAAATATGACCCTCATCGTGTCTCTACCCTGTAAATATGAACCTCATCGTGTCCCTACCTTGTAAATATGAACCTCTTCGTCCNTAAATATGAACCTCATTGTCTCCCTACCCTGTAAATATGAACCTCCATGTGTCCCTACCCTGTTAATATGAACTTCATTGTGTCTCCATACCCTGTAAATATGAACCTCATCATCTCCCTACCCTGTAAATATGAACCTCATCGTGTCTCTACCCTGTAAATATGAACCTCATCGTCTCCCTACCCGGTAAATATGAACCTCATCGTCTCCCTAACCCTGTAAATATGAACCTCATTGTCTCCCTACCCTGTAAATATGAAACTCATTGTCTCCCTACCCTGTAAATATGAACCTCATCGTGTCTCTACCCTGTAAATATGAACCTCATCGTCTCCCTACCCGGTAAATATGAACCTCATCGTCTCCCTAACCCTGTAAATATGAACCTCATTGTCTCCCTACCCTGTAAATATGAAACTCATTGTGTCCCTACCCTGTAAATATGAACCTCATCGTGTCTCTACCCTGTAAATATGAACCTCATCGTCTCCCTACCCTGTAAATATGATTCTCATTGTGTCTCTACCCCGTAAATATGAACCTCATTGTCTTCCTACCCTGTAAATATGAACCTCATTGTGTCCCTACCCTGTAGATATGAACCTCATCGTCTCCCTACCCTGTAAATATGATTCTCATCGTCTCCCTACCCTGTAAATATGATTCTCATCGTCTCCCTACCCTGTAAATATGATTCTCATCGTGTCTCTACCCTGTAAATATGATTCTCATCGTCTCCCTACCCTGTAAATATGAACCTCATCGTCTCCCTACCCTGTAAATATGAACCTCATCGTCTCCCTACCCTGTAAATATGAACCTCATTGTCTCCCTACCCTGTAAATATGAACCTCATTGTGTCCCTACCCTGTAGATATGAACCTCATCGTCTCCCTACCCTGTAAATATGAACCTCATCGTGTCCCTCCCCTGTAAATATGAACCTCATCTTCTCCCTACCCTCTAAAAATGAACCTCATCATCGCCCTACCCTGTAAATATGAACCTTATTGTCTCCCTACCCTAAAAATATGAACCTCATCGTCTCCCTACCCTGTAAAAATGAACCTCATCGTCTCCCTACCCTGTAAAAATGAACCTCATCGTCTCCCTACCCTGTAAATGTGAATCTCATCGTCTCCCTACCCTGTAAATATGATCCTCATCGTGTCCCTACCCTGTAAATATGAGCCTCATTGTCTCCCTACCCTGTAAATATGAACCTCTTTGTGTCCCTACCCTGTAGATATGAACCTCATCGTGTCCCTACCCTGCAAATATGAACCTCATCGTGTCCCTACCCTGTAGATATGAACCTCATCGTGTCCCTACCCTGCAAATATGAACCTCATCGTGTCCCTACCTTGTAAATATGAACCTCATCGTGTCCCTACCCTCTAAATATGAACCTCATCGTGTCCCTACTCTGTAAATATGAACCTCATCGTGTCACTACCCTGTAAATATGAACCTCATCGTCTACCTACCCTGTAAATATGAACCTCATCGGGTCTCTACCCTCTAAATATGAACCTCATCGTGTCCCTACCCTGCAAATATGAACCTCATCGTGTCCCTACCCTGTAGATATGAACCTCATCGTGTCCCTACCCTGTAGATATGAACCTCATCGTCTCCCTACCCTATAAATATGATCCTCATCGTGTCTCTACCCTGTAAATATGATTCTCATCGTGTCTCTACCCTGTAAATATGATTCTCATCGTCTCCCTACCCTGTAAATATGAGCCTCATTGTCTCCCTACCCTGTAAATATTAACCTCATTATGTCCCTACCCTGTAGATATGAACCTCTTCGTCTCCCTACCCTGTAAATATGAACTTCATTGTGTCTCCCTACCCTGTAAATATGAACCTCATCATCTCCCCACCCTGTAAATATGAACCTCATCGTCTCTCTACCCTGTAAATATGAACCTCATCGTCTACCTACCCTGTAAATATGAACCTCATCGTGCCTCTACCCTCTAAATATGAACCTCATCGTGTCCCTACCCTGTAAATATGAGCCTCATTGTCTCCCTACCCTGTAAATATTAACCTCATTATGTCCCTACCCTGTAGATATGAACCTCATCGTGTCCCTACCCTGTAGATATGAACCTCATCGTCTCACTACCCTGTAAATATGAACCTCATCGTGTCCCTACTCTGTAAATATGAACCTCATCGTGTCACTACCCTGTAAATATGAACCTCATCGTCTACCTACCCTGTAAATATGAACCTCATCGTCTCCCTACCCTGTAAATATGAATCTCATCGTCTCCCTACCCTGTAAATATGGGTATCATTATCTATCTACCCAGTAAATACGAGTTTCATTATCTGACTACTCAGTAAATATGAGTCTCATTAGCTACTTGCCCTGTAAATATATCAGTCTCGTCACCTACCTACACAGTAAATATGAGTCTCGTTATCTATCTACCCAGTAAATATGAGTCTCATGATCTGACTACCCAGTTAATATGAGTCTCGTCTACTCAGTAAATATGAGTCTCATTATCTACTTGCTCAGTAAATATATCAGTCTCGTCACCTACCTACCCAGTAAATATGAGTCTCATCATCTATATAGCCAAGCGGGAAAAAAATGGTTGCAATATATTTCAGACATGAAATTACATGTTCTCAGAAATAAAGCATACATAAAATGTGTGTATGTACACCTCAGGGTAAAAACGACACTTTCAAATGGCATCTTTTGAGGTGTTCTTTTAGATGAAATCATCAGATTTTAGAAAATAAGAATAGTTTAGCAAATTTACTGGTTGAAAATGCTCAATTTTAGGGTCCAAAATGGGGAGAGTTTGGAAGTATACGTGTGCTTTTGTAAATACATCAAAGAGTTTAAGTTTGTTTGGTAGCTTGTCTGTATTCAGGTAATGTGGCCTGCTTTTGACAGAATCAGAATGTCATTTACTGAAATTGAGCCTTATGAAACACACTATACAGAGATTATTTTGATACCAAAGTTTGTCTCGAGAAGTTTGTCTGGAGAAGTTTGTCTGGAGGTAATGGATAGCTACCAATACTTTGCTTTGTTGTTTTAAGCATACACGGCAGTCTTTGTTATTTTCTGTTTCAGTATTTCCACAACTTTTCATGCACATGGTTGCACAAAGGAAAAAGGTCATTGGTGGTGCCAGTAAAAAGAAAGAGTAATAACTCCCTCTCAGGTCCCTCAACCAGGGAGTTTTATACTGCCAAGGACAGAAAAACTCCCTCAACCAGAGTTTTGTACTGCCAAGGACAGAACGACTTCCTCTTGGCTTGAATGTGATCAATTATGCATGCTGTACACAATATTTTAATGGATGACGACGAGTGTTTGTAATAATCGGATCAGGTTGTTGTACATAAAATAACTAAGCCATGTGAAGTGTTGTCATTTCATTTCAACAAGTTTTATTATTCAGTAACAAGTGTTGTCAGTTGTATGTCAATCAAATAATTATTTCAGGAGTAGATAATAGGTATGTTGTTCAGTGTCACTCTCTGTTACAATTCTGTACTAGTGATAGGCCAATGCTGGGTATACAGCCCATCTCCTTTTAAACATATTTTACATCAAGAATTATGTCTGGAAATAAACAGGTATTAGATGTATAGGAAGAGTTTGGAAAGAGTTCCAACATGTGGACTTCCTTTACTCTTTAACTTATTCACCCCTGAAGACACATTTGAGCTATTCAGATATTCAAAGATTGAAATAGTTCATTATGAAATTTTAGGGATGAATGAGTTAATATTTCTACAGCGGATCTCTAAGTCTGGTCACTGGTATGATTTTGTAACATTGCGATAACACTGAATTTAGCACAATATTGCACCTCAAGCATGTCAAACGTTCTTGTGAGGTGTAAAATTTGAGTCATGGAAAATTCCATGAAATTATTTAACTGAAATCATCAACTGTTGTAATGTTTTTATAATCAGGAAGCATATCATATTTTGCCTATTTCTATAATTATGTAATATTGATTTTGTTAATATATTTTCTTACATTATAGATGTGCTTTAACATTGAAATAGATTAATATCAGTGCTATTGTTTTTAGGTTTATTAGAAAAGATATATTCATTAACTTGTTTAATAAATCATTCAAATAGTGAGTGCTTGTTACTCGTTATGTTTATCTCCATGCTGTTCTAATATTAAAGCCTTTGTTTGTCCCTCACTGGCAGATTTGCTCTGTCTTCCATTTCTGTCGTCCTTTTTTTCATGCCAAAGGTTTGTTTTGGGGCATATCTACTAGAGTATTTTACATGGAATTACAAAATTCGGTATGTACATATACATCTTGGGATGGTGGAGTGTTAGTATACTAAAAGTAGGTCACCCTGACCTATATTTAGCTCACCTGGCCGAAAGGCCAAGTAACCCGCGTAGAGTTGAGCTGTGTTACGTTGCAGATGTCAAGGAGATATTGTTCTGAGAACAAGAAAAACGGGTTTTTATTTTGGATATTACCTACTGAAACTGGCAATGTCTAGGGTCATCTGAAATAGCTAGTTTTTGTTGGTACAGTTAAATATGACTTAACGAGAGCCCATGTGTTAAAAACGGTTTTTACTGGCTTCCTTATGTAGGGTGATTACATTTTCATAAAATGTCTGTAGAAGTGTTTCCATCTGTAGCTACTGCATACCAGGAAACTTTTAGTCCGTGAATAAAATACATATTCCTCCTATTTTGCCTTTTATATACCATCAAAATATTACGATATATAAGGATTTGCCCATATTGCTGTGTGAAATTCCTGGTACACTGCAATATAATAGGAAGTCAAATACAGTCAAATTTCCATTATCAAACTTTGAGGATTTAAATTTCTCGATTTGTCAAACGTTCCGGCCTTTGGTGAAGAATTACAGATTTCAAATTAAATTTCTTGCCCTGTGTTCAATCACTTAACAATCGCCTTGAGTCTTATGCAGCAAGTTCAACATTCATGAGTCAAAGTATCGAGGTTTAAATTTCCCGAATGGTCCTGCAGAGTTCGTAAACATTGACATTTGACTGTATTTGCAAATCGTGTGATGTGCACACCTTTACCAAGGTACCTTGTTTTGTGTTCACAATATTCATGAATATATGTACATGTAGGAAAATTCAGGATTTGTTCAAGTTACCTTTGTTACAAAATGATTTCTTTTTCATTTGGGAACATCGTTAACATCAGTTTTTACATAACTCGGGTGACTGCTAAGGCCCGTGGGCCTCTTGTTATAAATAATGAATATCAACAGACAAGCAAACACATATGTAGAGAAATCGCCCAATATATTATTCTGTCGTTTTTGCATTTTTACATAAGATTTGATGTGTGTTCTATACTTATAACACATTCATACACTAGAATGATACTATACATACATTAGCATATTACACTGTAAATGTTAGAAATACCAGCATTTCATACTCATCTTATCACACAGTTTAAAGCTGGGACAATTTACACTATCACCCTCAATACTGCACGAGTTACGCTCACTTGCGCTCAATGTGTACCACCTTGTGGACGAGACCAGTGTGTACCACCTTGTGGACGAGACCAGAAGACTAGTTCGATTCTTTGATGTACATCAAAATGATCTTGTAACGGTAGAATATACCGGCGTCCAAGTAGAGTGTTGCTCCTCTGTAATCTTCAAAGGACAGGTATCAGCCTAGCGATTGGTCAGATTCTTTTACCCGAGACTAATTAAATAGCTATCCGCGTGCCTTCAATTTTACTATGACATATTCCAGGGGTGCAGATAGCGCAAGTTGGCGTAACATATTCAATACAAAACTTTCTCTTTCTCCTAGAATAAATTCCATGGTTCCTTTCCCAGCAATCGTTACCCATAGCAACAGTTTTCATTCTTAAAAGCAGTTTGAGTTTGTGGTTGGAATGTTACATGATGTTCTTATTAGAATATCAGAACTGACTTCTCATGATAACAGTATTAACTCATTCACCCCTGAAGACACATTTGAACTCTTCCAATTCAAAGGTTGGAATAGTTCATTATAAAATTTCAGGGGTGAATGAATTAATGATATAGTAATTTCCTGATTAGTCCCAGCTTTGCAGATGGAGGTTTAACACTCATTCATATCTCCATTATCAGAGCTAGGTACAATTTCCTTTCATAGCCTCGGTTATCTCAGCTCTGCAGAGCGAGGTGCAATCTTCATGTATATCCTCAATCGTCGTCGTTCAAGTAAGAAGTCAAAATTAGTGCTATATATCCCACTGTTAACAACGGCCCTGTCAAACACGTCCGTTATACTACATTTTATTGTCTTACAAATGATGGCCTATATTTGTATATTACATTGTACATAAACTGGATTGAAAGACCACTGCATTAAAACATGGACAAATATTGTACATACACTGTATGTTATGTAAACCACTCGCACACCCATAACATACTCATTGTGATATACTCATATACTGGTAGTTGGCTGTCAGTTTTAAACAAAATTGTTATTAAGCCTGTTCCAATATTTCGGTTCTAACAGGATAAGAAGCACAAGAAAACCAATTACCAGATTATAGTATCATGATTCCATATTTCCTATCATGATTTTCACCACATGAGTTGACAGAATTATTTTAAGTATTTTACTCGTAACCAACATAAATCCCAATAGATTTGTAAAACTGGTCTACATTAGTATACAGTTACTAACATCCCTCATAATCAACATTAACTGTTGTACAGTGATGAAACATTTCGGCAGTGAAACTCTGCATGCCAAAAATATATCTATTTACAGGGATGAATCTAACATAACAAAGTATAGGTGTACATGTACTAACACACAACACAAAAATATATCAAAAACTTGGCCATCAAAACAAATTCTTACCATCACAAGCTTATAAACTGACAAGTAAGATACCAACAAAATATCCTTAACAATCGTATCAGTACATCCAGCTGTGTTACAAACACCAATATTTCCATGAATTTACTTGTACATTTTTGTGTCCGTGTTTGTGATACATACACTTTTGGAACAGTCAATTATGTATGAGAGAAAATCTAAATGGAAATAGAAACTGTGCATGAATCAAATTTACCATGCACATATTTCTGCTTGATTACATCCTTGATAATCCAGAGATTACGCTCACTTTCGCTCTCTGCACTCCTGGAATATGTCATAACAAAATTGACGGCATGTGGCAAGCTATTTGATTGGTCTCTGGTAAAACAGAACCTGGCCAATCTTAGGCTGATACCTGTCCTGTGAAAATTACAGAACAACAGATTCTTCTGATGTACATGAAAAGATCAAACTGTTCCTTTGATTTTGCCACGACATATTCCAGGGGTGCAGAGGGCGATAGTGAGCGTAACTTCTGGAGTATCGAGGGTGGCTTGATTACAGTAAAATTTTGCGACACCGTAAGAATTTCTCTACCTCTACACATTCCCCACCAGTAGACAGCCTCCAATTATTACTTCTAAGATTTCTTATTACAAAATTATGTTGTGGAGAACTCGAACAACATGAGCCTGCATATATACCATCCCGCGGAGGTTATATGTATAACAAATATGTACATTGCTCCCAAAACAATGCCTGGTTACATCACTGTTTGAAATAATATCACCCACAGCGATTTCACGTTACATGTCATGTTCCAGGAGAAACAGAATATCCTACTCCTGACAACAGATTATTGCTGAAGCAAGAAGGCCAATATATGTTCAATATTTATCATTTAGAATGATTTTTCCTTTAGCGTACACATACTAGACAGCTCACTTGTACTTTGACAACAAACACATACCTCACACAGCTGTACACCTAACAGTCAGTGAGCGAAGCAATAGGCCAGAATAAAAACCTACGGCAAGTTTGTAAATGAGTACAGGTAGATTCACAATGACCACATTGATACTGTGTAGGTCAAAATTTGAGACAAATAAGGTTTTAGGAGGTATAGGCTACAATAAACCTGTTTTAACCTGGCCTTGGCATAAACCGAGATTCTGGTCGAATACATACATAGGTAGCTAACTTTCTCAAGGAATAAGAATTGGTGATTTCCATTAAAGATATTTAACGCAATTACACATAGTTTATAAATTCACCAAATTGTCAAAAAGGTGATGCTAAAAAAATGTAAGTGGGACCTGTTGTGATATATCAAAATGCGCCGATTTTTTTTTAGATTTTCGTGAAAAGTTATCAAATTCACTGTGTCTAGCTTAAATACAAAAAACAGTTAAACCAATTAGTTCAATGTAAGTAGTTACAAAAAGGGCCAGATAAAAGGGCCATATAAAAGCACTTTGCAGATTAAGATTGTGTTGTTCTACGGTAACATTATCCTTTTCAAAGTTCCATCAAGAAACTTACACAAGAGTCATGGCCCTTTGTGTATGTATACACTGTTGGCACTCATGATCAGGTACCTGTTATGTTAGTTTATAGCTTTTTAGAGAGACGACGCTTTACACAAAACATAGGTATAATATAGAAGATTGGAAACAGTCTTTAAAATTTACATAGAGTAAGGTGCTTGAGTAATTCTTTTTAAGTTTTGGGAGCTGGGATAAACTGTTGATTATTAAATTGTTATTTCAACAGGTATAACATTGCCTTGTAAAATGCACTTTTACATAAATTATGATTCATAAATTGCAAAAATTACCCAGCACAAAATGATAATTAAATGACTTGATATAGTAAAAATACCACCTGATATAATTAAATACATGTGTTGAATAAATGGTTACCCAATATACTACAGTAATACCAAAATCTTCCATCAAATTCCATCAAATTCTAGACACGTGCTCACCTTGCTATAAATACGTTCATTCATACACATATACACTTTTATTTAACTAATTCACCCCTGAAGTTTCACAATGAACTATTCCAACCTTAGAATTGGAAGAGTTAAAATGTGTCATCAGGGGTGATTGAGTTAACAGCACACACATGTAAACATGCACTCTTATTTTAAGCAAAATACTTGCCAGATACACATGGCACAAAAATTATCAGGTGATTAAAAATGAACACTTCTGAAACCAACTAAAGATAATCAGTGTAGCCATTCCAGCTAAACACCATGGCAACTCCTGGCAAACACCGACCGCTCCTGATAGACACTGCGGCCACCCAAGGTCAACACTGCAGCCACTACTAGTATACACTGCGGCCAACCAAGGTCAATACTGTAGCCACTACTATTATACACTGTGGCCACCCAAGGTCAACACTGCAGCCACTACTAGTATACCCTGCAGCCACCCAAGGCCAATACTGTAGCCACTACTATTATACACTGGGGCCCCCCAAGGTCAATACTGAAGTCACTACTAGTATACACTGCAGCCACCCAAGGTCAACACTGTAGCCACTCCAGGTAACAATGAATGGCTACCCCCGATACGCTATTTGACCATCCAAACAAAACGTTATCCAAATCTGTTTGAGAAGACAAAGCTGAGACTATTGACTGACCAGGGTAATGTCAAACTATTTTGATTTCACAGCCTGTCTGTTGTTAATTAGAAAATAACCTATATTAACTTCCAATTTTACGCCAAACCTGAGAACACCGGAGACATCTGTTGTGACGACACTAAGCCTCAATGTGAAATAATTAGTGGATGGAACACCACTGCTGGAAAACCTTAGTTTTCCCTGAATAATTGTATAAGAGAAAAAGGAGACACATTAATTAAATCAAAAACATGGAATGATAATATAGACAACATGCAATGTTTCATCATTTCAACTTCTTGGCCCTTTTGTTCAAAACCTGACCAGCTTAACTCATTTTCCCCTGAAGACACATTTGAACTCTAAGGTTGGAAGAGTTCATCATGAAATTTCAGCGGTGAATCAAGTTAAACACCACTTAACATAACACTATTTATGATGGTATTTCATATTCTTAAAAGAAAATCCAAGTTTTGGTAACTCAAAATGATCACATGAAGAAAAGAGAAATGCATTTAACAATTTGTTAGTGTTATTTTGGGGGAAATTATATTTTACAAGCATCAAAACATGAAATGAATGTTATAAAAAAATCTACGTTATGATACCCTATGTGAACAAAGAATTCCTAAATGCCCAACAGTAACATGTTGTTGTTAAAGTTTTATTTACAATCAATTTCATCCAAGTGAACGACAGTGGCATAATTTTGTTTATATCATGCATGTCTTCCTCAAGTAAAATGTCTGACGGCAGTATTATAATCTATATACATACGACGTAATATCTACACTTTATAGCCCCTCTATATATTGTATACACAATAAGATACAATTCAACCTCGTTTATACAGACACTGACTACCAACAGTCTGGGATAGCCCAGTGCTTTTCCCCCTCTGAAATTGTGATTAATTAAGAACGTATACTTATGAAAACCAATGCATGACCCCTGTATTAACACACACACACCCAAAAGTGGGATGGGGGTCTTGGCTGGGGTAAATGACGCAACATTCGGAGGTGATGCTTCTGTTAGTTTTTCGTAAGTTTTGCCTTCAGAATCGTCCTTAAACTGATCAAAGAAATATATAAAAAATCAATTTTCTGATCCCATTCTAGGCCGGATGCATTTAACCCTTTCAACCCTATGTAACTTCAGAAGACTCTACCATGTATTGATATGGAGGAGTCCACTATGGTCTACAGTGGTGAAAGGGTTAATTAAAGATGTTTCAAACTAGTGTCCTTTCAGGAAGCTTCTGTTGAAGTAGGTTCCAAGCTGACCTAGTTACTGAACTCAGGATACCTATTCTGTAGTGCTTGCATAGAAATCTGGTACAACAACATTTTAAATATTAACTCATTAAAATATGAGGAATTTACCTTAAAAAATATTTGAAATTCGTTATTTTCCTTGACATCTTCAAAAAGTCTGCGTGAAGTGTTTCAGACCTAAAACCATCTTATCAAACAGAACATTGTATTTTGAATTGAAAAATAAATCTACTGTTTCCTTGTTTCCTGTTGCTTGATATAGGCCGAAGACAACACTTTCACCCCTGAAATTTTATAATTAACTATTCCAACGTTTGAATTGGAAGAGTTCAAATGTGTTTTCAGGGGTGAATGAGTTAATTTTTTCATATGAGTCTTTCTCCCATATTTCATTGTAATTCATACACTTAAAACCCCCCAGATTTGATCTGTAAAAAAATTAAAATCCAATATGACATTATCAGAATGTGAATTCTACAAGTAAATCAGATATGTCTATATTTCAAGAAATGCACAACAATGTCTCAAATGGTCAGTCAAGAGTACAATATAGTGAACATGTCTGTACAAAAAGGTATGCAAAAATATGTGAACTTTTAAACAGATAATCCTCTATGAATAACAAGAAAATAATAATTAAAACCTTGAGAACAATTTATTTTTTCTTAATACATAAAATATGAATTAAGATATGAAATTTCATTTCTTAAAATGTGATATCTTTCATATTTATGAAATATTTAATGTAGGTATCGTGTTTTACCATAAATACATTAACAATTGTTGTTTTGAGTCTTTTTAATGTGCTTCATGTGAATACACAGTGCACAAAATAATAAACTAAATTTAGGTCAGGCTTAACTGTTAACCCTTTTAATACCCCTAGGTAACTTTAGTAGACTCTACCATACATTGATCTGGATGAGTCCATTATGGTCTACAGTGGTAAAAGGGTTAACCTAGGAAAACAAAAGTGTTGATTTGATGGTAACAATGATACCAAAACACTATATCCAGTGACCATAAATAATAGCATTGAAAATTTTAAAGTACAACCAATTTAAAAATTGATTATCTAAGAAAAATAGGAATAATATATTTTTCAAAACAAAAATGAAACAACTTTTTTGCTTAGATATGCAAAATGAATGTTTGTGTTCAGTCCATTTTCAGATTGACATAAATATATCGTACAAAGTTGAGAGAAGCGAAGAATGATACAGTCCCGAGCATGAGAAAGAAAACGTAGCAGCTGAGGGCGGTGTAGCCAAAGAATTCCAGAGTCTGCAAGGCACCCGACATGTTGGACCGTTTGAAATAGTAAAACATGGCATACAGGAACACAAAGATCCCAGTAGATCTGTAAGAAAACAACACCTCAATTAAATCTCTTTAATGGTGAAAAATATCAATTTATTCAATGGTGAAAACATCAATTTATACAAAAGAGAAAACATCAACGGTGAAAACATCGATCTCTTTATTAAATGGTAAATATATCAATTTATTTAATGGTGAAAACATAGGTTTATTTATTGGTAAAAACATCAACCTATTTTACAGTAAAGACAAACACAAACACCTCCTTACCTTAAAAGTGGGTTGTTGGGTACAAAGATTTGTTGATAATGAGAACCAACAAAATCAACCACCTACGTATTGGATAATTTTACATTAAGGATTTAATTGGATTTAACTATTTCATCCCTATGTAACTTTAGTAGACTCTACCATGCATTGATCTGGATGAGTCCATTATGGTCTACAGTGGTGAAAGTGTTAATGACGAACTGTATAAAAGACATTCAACTAGAAACTAGTAGGTATTTACCCCGCACTGAAGATGGAGCGCCACCACCACCTGTAGTCCTCAGCTGACAGCTGGAAGTATGTAAGGGCCACCGAGATACAGGCTGTGACACTCAGCAGAATGCCATACACTATGAACAGGATTCCGTACAATGTGTACTGTTCCCGGCCCCACAGTGTGGCGAAGATATAGTACAGCTCCACAGAGATTGCACTGTAAATAAAGATTCATTTGTATTTAATTTCATCTTTGCACTGTAAATAAAAATTAATGTGTATTTAAATTCAACTATATTTTTTTTTTTTTTTAGATAACATAAAAGCAAAAGAGGTTGTCCGGATGTCATTAAATATTGTCATGACTAAAAACTTATAAGAGATTTGATGATTGGAAAACTTGGTGTTGGAGATTGGACAACTTGGTGTTGGAGATTGGACAACTTGGTGTTGATAATTGGATAACTTGGTGTTGATGATTGGACAACTTGGTGTTGATGATTTGACAACTTGGTGTTGGAGATTGGACAACTTGGTGTTGATGATTGGACAACTTGGTGTTGATGATTGGACAACTTGGTGTTGGAGATTGGACAACTTGGTGTTGATAATTGGACAACTTGGTGTTGGAGATGTGACAACTTGGTGTTGATGATTGGACAACTTGGTGTTGATGATTGGACAACTTGGTGTTGATGATTGGACAACTTGGTGTTGATGAACTTGGTGTTGATGATTGCCCAACACGTGTCTTTCACCAAGGATGTCAGGGTTCAATTCTCTGATTTGACGTGAAAAGGTATGGGGTCACGTGCCCTACCACGTGGGTTTTCTCCGGGTACTCCAGTTTCCTCCCACAGTAAGACCCCTCGCACACTAACATCCGGGCCAACAAGAGTGATTAGTATAAGTTATATAAACTTTGTTTCATAATTGTTGCATATATGTTTCAACCCTAAATATGAGCATGTTTCAAAACACTGTAAACGAACGAGATTTGTGTTGAAAGGTTGAATAAAAATATGACAGTTGCATTTCATGTACGTACCTGAAGGGCAAGAATCCTCCCACGACGCAGTGGGCAAAGGATGATCTGTACCAGGGCACGGGCGGAATCTCACGGGATATATTTTTTGTTCTGCATGGGGCATCAAAACCATTGGCCCAGTTTTTGCCGAATATTCCCCCTAATACGGTGAGCGGGTAACCAACTGTAATACAACAGAGTAAATGTACATTTTCACCGACAAATAATACAGAAATCTTTAATATCTGTTCCTTACTTTCGGAAAACTTTCGCCAAGTTTTGAAAAGGGGCATGGTTGAAATGCATGCTGGGGATATAGCATGATTTAAATATAGCTCCACCACAGATAAGAATATGATATTAGCCCTGTTTTTGCCAAGAGTTAATTTCGCCCTTCCCAAACACTAATTTCATATTGTTTGTTTCATGCTGCCATGATAAATCTGCTCTAACTAAGAAAAGCAAAACGGCGAAAGTTGAATGCAGCGAATATTTCCCAGTATACAGTATTAACAATATTGAAATATGTAAACCTTCTCTCTGTTTTTCATCTTTCTTTTTGTTATAAAAACAAGAGGCCCAGAGGGCCTGTATCGCTCACCTGGATATTTAAGCAATCATGGCAAAATATTCTCAAAATGAGATCCAAGGGAATATGCCAGACCCCAAGGCCAGTCCTTGTAGCATATCTGTATTTGATTTTTTATGCCCAGCAATTTTATGTATGGTTATGGGGTGGGGATCTCAACTGGTTCCAAGCTGTGACTCAAAAACTAGGTCCCTAGGGCTGTGGCCAGACCCCAGGATCAGTTCTAATGTCATGACTTCATTTGTCTCTTTTTGCCCAGCGTTTGTATATATAGTTTTGGGGGGGGGATGTTAACCATTTCAAAGTTATGACCCAGTGGTTAAGTCTCCAAGGGTGGGGCCAGACCCTAGGCCCATCCCGGAAGCAAATGTGCATTCCTCTCTTTATACTCAGCAATTGTATATATGATTATATGGTGGGGATCTCAACCATTGCCAAGTAATTTTTTTTTTTCGGCCCTACCCCTTAGCCCGGAGGGCCAGTCCCACCATTTGTACAATTTTGAATTCCTTCCTCCCATGAATGCTTCCTACCAAATATGATCATATCCATGGTTTAGTTCTACGGAAGAGGTCATTAGCCAAATTGCCCCCATTTTTGGCCCAGCCCTCAGCCCCCTGGGGGGTCAGCCCCACCATTTGTACAATTTTGAATCCCCACCACCAAGGGATGCTTCCAGTCAAATATCGTTGATATCTATCTCTTAGTTCTAGAGAAGAAGTCGCTTAAAGTAATATAGCTAAATAACCCTTTTTGGCCCCACCCCTCAGCCGCCACGGGGGGTCAGCCACACCATTTGTACAATTTTGAATCCCTGCCTCCCATGAATGCTTCTGATTAAATATGATTGATATCCAGTGCACAGTTCTACAGAAGAAGTCTTTGTAGCAATATAGCCAAAATGCCCCTAAGCCCAATGGGGGGTCAGCCCCACCATTGGTACAATTTTGAATCCCCACCACCTAGGGATGCTTCCAGTCAAATTTAGTTACATTCCAATCAGTGGTTAAGAAGAAGTCATTTAAAGTAATTGTTGACGGACGGACGACTGATGCCACGTTATGGCATAAGCTCACCTTGGTCCTTCCGACCCGGTGAGCTAATAAAACGATAAAGTGGTGCATTCTTTCAGTCATGTCAACAGACGACCATGGTATGGAGTTGGTCAAATTTACATATAACCTAGCACAATGAAATAATATAAACCTGCTGGAAAAAATTCCAGAAAAGTCTGATAAAATACCTGTAATGTGGAACAGATCAGAGTTAACTCCCTTTGATACATTGTGAAGTGTGCAATGTTTCTCCACTTCCTTTTCTGTTAAATCTATATCTAGTACTAATATTTATAGTAAACACTACTATGTATATAACAATGTCTATTAATATTTACTACTTCCTCGTTATGCAAGACGAAAGTTGAACCATTTCTCTATAAATTACTATGTAAGTACAATGTACAATGTACAAATATGCAACCGTTGTAGAGTATTGCACACTTAAATCATTCCCATTCAGTAACAGCTGTAACTTACCAAACAACCACAAACACATGAGTAACACGACAGTCGTCCATGGTAACGCCTGGGTCGTACCATAACCCCAGGCAACAGAGTTGACCACTGCCCACACAAAGAAGAACGGTGCTGTAACAGAACAACAACAGACTTGTCACACACACTTACACATTTAGGAAATTCCACAATTTTTTACACTATTTTTTTTTTTACATTTGAATTCTCCTAATAATTTTTTTTGAGAAAAATATTGGATTTGGGTGAGTAAGACACCAAGAAAAAGTGCATTTAGCAATACTGTAAATGGATATTTTATTTAAGTTATTTGATTACTTATTTTTAAATGGCTCCACTCCTAAAACATTTGAGTTTTATACGATCTTTTGATACCTAGTCCTGATTTGGATCTAGCAAATACTACAACTGTACTCATTTTAAAAATAATGCATGGATATTCCTCACAAAATTTACTTCAAATACTTCGTGAATTACTTTCCTCATTTGATAATACAAAATGTAAATGGTAAATGTTTACAGAAACACAGAACTTCAACATTACCTGCAAATAAACATGAGGTGAGATTGATGTTCCACACCCAGTTATCTCCCCCTAACTTCCTGTACATATTGGCAGCTACGTATCCGGCAATACCTAAAACAGGAAAAGTCAATTGTATCATTACTTCATGCTTTTCTTTTTAATTGTTTTTAACAAAACAATTTAAACACAACTCAATCATACGTTTCTTTTTATAAACATTTATATCGGTAAAGTTCATGTCAAAGATTTAAAACAAAACTAACAAATATATCTACACTAAAATGTGTATGAACAATCTAAATCCAAACAAATTCACACAATAAAACATCCAAATCCCAAGTTTATGTCCGAGCAATGTAAGTTAAATCAGCCCTAACTATAACCAGCACAACACTTACATGAGGTAAAGGCAAACAGGATGATTCCGGCCGAGTTAATGGCTCCGTGTCTGTGGACGTTAAACATTCCCATCATAGCCATCATCATTATCCCTGTGGCCAGGGCTAAAAACTGTGTTCCCACACCTATTAAATAACAAGGTTAGAACACTTAAGAAACATTTCACGTCAAGTATCATCTATGTAACTTGGAGTTGGGTGGCACAGTGGATAAAGCACTTGGATTTCACCAAGGTGTTCGGGGTTCGATTCCCCGATCGGATGTGAAAACATATGGGGTCACCTGCGTGACCATGTGTTTCCCCTGGAACTCTGGTTTCCTCCCACATTTAGAACCTGCACGCTAACAACCGGGCCAACAAGAGTGATTAATATGAGTTGAATAAAATTTACAGTTAACTTAAAGTCAGCAATGAAAGAAGAATTCAGATACAATATCCTATACTCCACATTTAGATACAATATCCTATACAGCTATACTCCACATTCAGATACAATATCCTATACAGCTATACTCCACATTCAGATACAATATCCTATACAGCTATACTCCACATTCAGATACAATATCCTATACAGCTATACTCCACATTCAGATACAATATCCTATACAGCTATACTCCACATTCAGATACAATATCCTATACAGCTATACTCCACATTCAGATACAATATCCTATACAGCTATACTCCACATTCAGATACAATATCCTATACAGCTATACTCCACATTCAGATACAATATCCTATACAGCTATACTCCACATTCAGATACAATATCCTATACAGCTATACTCCACATTCAGATACAATATCCTATACAGCTATACTCCACATTCAGATACAATATCCTATACAGCTATACTCCACATTCAGATACAATATCCTATACAGCTATACTCCACATTCAGATACAATATCCTATACAGCTATACTCCACATTCAGATACAATATCCTATACAGCTATACTCCACATTCAGATACAATATCCTATACAGCTATACTCCACATTCAGATACAATATCCTATACAGCTATACTCCACATTTAGATACAATATCCTATACAGCTATACTCCACATTTAGATACAATATCTATACAGCTTTACTCCACATTCAGATACAATATCCTATACAGCTATACTCCACATTTAGATACAATATCCTATACAGCTATACTCCACATTTAGATACAATATCCTATACAGCTATACTCCACATTCAGATACAATATCCTATACAGCTATACTCCACATTCAGATGCTCTCAGCTTAATTGCTGCCTTCGGCTGTCTTTAGCCGAGGGGACTATTGGTTTTATATAATAGCTATATTTTCAATTATAGTATATCAATTCTATCTTCTTGTAATATGATGTATATGTTCATGTAACTGTTCTGTTTCAATACCAATATTCACTGTCAGGTTGAATTCGCCTCTTTATAGAAGATAAAATACGCAAAAGTTAAACTGCAGTGAAAATTTCCCTGTATACAGGATCTCAAATGGATCTGACAAATCACCAAATTTAATATCAACTTTGATTAGAGTGCATGCATATGTACCTAGGATAGCACAGAAGAGACTTTTAAATGCTGGGAACCTGAAAACATCACTGTGAATGATTTTCCAGCCGTTGTCGTCGTTATCCAAATCATCACTCTCCTCCTCGTCCACATTATAACGGGCAAAGTCACTCTTCAGCACTCTTGTCTGTAAAGAGGTACAACAATTGCTTAATTTGACTCTAAAAGAAGGAAAAATCATGAACAAGAGGCCAATGGGACTTCACACACACAAGAGTGAAATCAGCTCCATAGAATTTAAAAGGTTTGAGTTGGAAATAGATTTTCAAAATATTTGCCTAGAACTGATGGAGAAACATGTATTTTTGCCTGAAGCAATCTATGTAAATTCCACCTCCTTGGCATTGGTAGGATTAGTTTTGTCAAAGCAACCAGATATTAAGAATAATTCTATTCCTTGCCTATTGACCACTAACAGTTTCTATTAAATATATTTTAAAAGTTGAAAACCCTACAGCTGATTCAAGCCAAAATTAAAATCCGAATCCTTTCAATGGTTTCAGAGAAGAAGTTAAAAATACGCAAAATATACACACAAAGGAGGAAGTAACATAGCGATTGAATAATTGTCAACCAGGGGTAAGTACTAATATGCTAGTTTATTGTTAGACTACAGCTACAGGTCTGCAAGGTTGCATGTCTTGAGTATTGTTAGACTACAGCTACAGGTCTGCAAGGTTTTACGTCTGGAGTTAGACACATCGATCATTGTTAGTAAACTTTAAACCCTCCTTGGGGCCACAGGTTTTAGTTTGATAAATTTACATAATCTGTTTACTTACTAGTATGATCACCACAAAGCCGATCAGCAGGAACACCAGTACCATAGAGTTGATGATAGACAGCCAGTGGATCTGTAAATATAAACCAATCAAAGACATTGTAACATAACGGATCCAGGCCAGGGTCATAACCAATCACAAACATTGTTACATAGAGGATCAAAGCTATAACCCAATCACAGACATTGTTACATAAGAGCTCTAAGATCATCACCAATCACAGATTTCATTACATAAGGGATCCAGGGCCATCACCAATCACATATATTGTTACATAGAGGATCCAGGGCCATAACCAATCACAGACATTGTTACATAGAGGATCCCGGGTCACTACAAATCACAGACATTGTTACATAGAGGATCCAGGGCCATAACCAATCACACACATCGTCACATAGGGGATCAAGGGCCATAACCAATCACACACATCGTTACATAGGGGATCTAGTGTCACTACAAATCACACACATCGTCACATAGGGGATCAAGGGCCATAACCAATCACACACATCGTTACATAGGGGATCCAGGAACAGACATTGTGACACACTGGTAAGTATCAAAGATGATGCATTAAGTAAAGTTTGTTACTACAAACAGTGACCGTATGAATCACCAAAAAAAGACATCTTCGGTATCAAAGCAATTTATTTATTTTTAAGATATTCATTTACAAGATATCTTGAACAACTTATTTACATCTTTATTTTTTCACTGCATATAGCTATACCCGGTGTTACTGTACTCTGTATTAAAACTTATACTGAAAGTATCTTTCTCACCTCCAAAGTCTTGGGGAAGAAACTGTTGTCACGGACACGCTTTCCTCTTTCTTCATATTTCATTCTGAAATGGAAATGAACACAAAAATATAGAGGCTAAGAGTCCAGAATAATATATTATCTTTTCTGATATTATGTTGACTACCATACAACTATATCAAATGTGCAAACTAAACAAAGGCAAAGAACAGGTAAAGATTTAGTGATAAAAGACTTTTAAAAATAACTCCCATTTCTTCATTTTGACCCCTGCCTTTCCCCCCCCCCCCCCCCCCCCCCCCCCCCAAAGGTTCACAATCATCATATATTCAATTGTAATGAGGAGTTCCTTTAGTACATGATTCTTTATAACAAATTATGTTAAAATTACTTTACCCCCATGGGTATTCTAAATTACTTTACCCCTATGGGTATTCTAAATTACTTTACCCCTATGGGTATTCTAAATTACTTTACCCCTATTGGTATTCTAAGTAACTTTACCCCTATGGGTATTTATGGGTATTCTAAATTACTTTACCCCCATGGGTCCATGGGTATTCTAAATTACTTTACCCCTATGGGTATTCTAAATTGCTTTACCCCTATGGGTATTCTAAATTACTTTACCCCGATGGGTATTCTAAATTACTTTACCCCTATTGGTATTCTAAGTAACTTTACCCCTGTGGGTATTCTAAATTACTTTACCCCCATGGGTCCATGGGTATTCTAAATTACTTTACCCCGATGGGTATTCTAAATTACTTTACCCCATGGGTATTCTGAATTACTTTACCCCTATGGGTATTTTAAATTTCTTTACCCCTATGGGTATTCTTTCTAAAGAATTATCCCCATTTCTCTCTATCTAGCTCATCACTCTTCCCAATGGGGTACCTATCTCTTTATGCAAAATTGTCCATTTGACCCAGGGATTTTTTATATCAGATATAAATCCCTTCACCCACTTATAAGAAGTAGACTTTTGAATATTTACCAGTATTTGCCCAACGGTGAACAAGGGCCAAAACTCTGTATATCGTGTATAATGTGATACAATTTCAGTATCCAACACTTCATCATCCTATTAGGTACTCGCATACAAAATTCGGCAATTCCAAATGACAGATTTTTTTTTTTAAATACCAAAGAGAAAGTGACACACAGATGGATGCACTGAGCTTACACACAGAGGGCAAGCTACAGTCTTCTCTGGTACTACTGCTGGGTGACTACAAATGACTGGTGAGCACAACACGGCAGACTTTCTATCATTTTCTATGTGATGATATACCAGTAGAGTGATAGTCTATTGACCCCTGACTTTCCAGATGACCTCTGAATGCTGAGGTAACCTCGCACATTAACCCTTTCACCACTTGTAGACCATAATGGACTCGACTAGATCAATGCATGGTAGAATTTACTAGAGTAACATAGGGGCGAAAAGGTTAAGATGATTTTGAATACTTACTCCGTTGTGTGCCACTTGATGCTGTAGGTAAACGCCACCTCAAATGGAGCAGTGACGGCCGAGTCCAGTCCTACAGGCGCCTGCTCTTTTGTCGTCACATTGGCGTAGATAATCTGACAAAAATTACAGGTTTGATTAATATCATACTTGTGAAAAATCCTTTGTAAGGCGTCATATTTTTGAAAACTTATTAACCACAATTTAAAGCAATCTAAATCAATCGGTAGAATTGGATTTGTTTTAAGTTATGAAGTTAACTATCTCAGTGAAAACAATATCTCAGATGAGATTGAGAAACATTGAGATAACATTAGAAATAATCATACATATATCATGTGATTCATGTATATATAAATGTACATGGTAGGTATTAAAGGAACAAGTTCCTGCGAAGGAAAATACAAAATGAAACAAGTCTAAAAGACGTAACTATTGATGATGTCATGTAACCAATCGTGACTAATAAACATCAGAACACCTGAAGACGCCCAGGAAGGCAGAAAGGCCTAGCAATCAGTCTTGTATGCTTGTTGTTTTATTTTACATGCACATTTATATAAATGCAATTGTCAATATCAAAACTTAAATCCTACTACAGGTACGTAGTACACAAAGAAACCTGTGTACGGATGTTTCTTACCTGGTCCCCGTTGTACTCTATGTTAATGTTTAGGTGGGCCCACAGGTAAATCTTGTGTGTGTGAGGCAGGTATCCGCCCTCCTCCAAGTGTCCAATGAACCCTCGCACAGGGATGTCATCTGTAACATTACGCCCATTGATCAGGTAACAGGTTCATAGCATTATTATTCCAGTATTGTAATGGGTGCAGTAGTCCGAATCATTCTGACGTTTTATCGACTTTTTTCATATCGGTCTGTCGTCGATTAACGTCAGAACTCCGGCCCTCTATAATATGCGGGAAATATGCGACCCGCGCCCGAAGCGCTCTTCAAACTGATATTTTAGAAACAAATCGTCACTATCACACACATGGCGCACATGCATCGAAAGATCTATTCTTTATGCACAAGATAAACATACATAACATGCCTCAAACAACTAATACAATCACTAAAAACATATTTTTTCAAACTTACTCTGTTTTACAGTAGTTTTTTGATAGCCCCGCCTTCCAATGCCACGTGACTAAAATCTCGCCGGCCTACGTCATAACGTTGGGAAATAACTTCGGTAACGCGAGATCTCGTCAAGTCGTGTGACATTTCTCATGGCCTAATTTCCATAAAAAACATGGGTTGGTATAGAAAACGTTGGAAAATACATTTCGCAATGATCTTTGAAACATTTTATTGATACCACCTAGTGCATAAAGAATAGATCTTTCGATGCATGTGCGCCATGTGTGTGATAGTGACGATTTGTTTCTAAAATATCAGTTTGAAGTGCGCTCCGGGCGCAGGACGCATCTTTCCCGCATATTATAGAGGGCCGGAGTTCTGACGTTAATCAACCACAGACCGATATGAAAAAAGTCGATAAAACGTCAGAATAATTCGGACTAGGGTGCAGTTGTCCTATTTCAGTTTCTTCATTATCACTTAGGTATGGTAAACAGAAGAAAATAACTTATTCTGCAGAAGTTCCAAATCAGTTGCATCATTTGATCATAAAGTGGAATACAGCAAACAAATTTCCCCCCTGATCCCTGAACTGTTCGTATGGGCTGTGGCTATCAAAAGAGGCTTCCTGACTCATTATTTTATATATGACCATGTATAAGTGTATTTCTGAACTTTATAATTTTAGAAGCAAATCAAACGACCTTGTAACATTTTTCAACTGAAAAGATATGACCCTATTAAACTGCCTGACTATGAAGCTCTTTGATTGTACTGACTTCGCTTTTGATCACACTGACCCCTTGACCTCTGAGATTAAGTTGACTGTGCACTCCTGAGCTATACATATGGATCAAGATAATTCCTCGACCTAAATGCTGCTATTGACCTGACCTTTAACCTTTGAGCTCTGTGGTCAAGCTGAACTTTTGATTTTTTGTGTAATAAAGCTCGTGCTCTACAGTTGTCTTAACCACACGTATTAAATCTGAAAGCTTTTTTGAACAAGGTGACCTCGTGACGTTTAAGTTATATCCGAGGAATTTATCAGCATTGACTTTCTAAGTCAGTGGATAAATCTATTCAGAATTGAGCAATACTAATTCCCCTGATCAGTGTTGAAGTTGATGGATGAGGTGAGTTGGTTTTTGATACAAAGTTTGTGAAGAAACTTTGAAAATAAAATTTAACTCCTGGTAATAACAGTGACCTTGACCCCTGAGTTTGAATGGCAATCCAGAGCAAGCCCTTTCAGTAAAAGGCAGCAGAGTTTGAAGTCTGATCGTAAGTGGTCCACAGGAGCTCAAGTTATTGTGCAGAAACACATATTCTATTTATAGCATGGTGACCTTGCCTTTGATCTTCTACCTAAAAAGGATTTCCAAGCATGCACTTGGTAATAAATGTATGAAGTCGCAGTTTAATTAGGCTACAGAAACTAGATATTGTAATGAAACTGACCTCTTTTTTTTTTTATCAAAGTAACAGTTATTTTGAATTAACAATCTCATAAGAATATCCAAGCCAAGATGAAAGGGGTGAAGACTATTTTTGAGAACTGTTTTTTTTTTTTATTATAAATAGATATAATACTTGGATCTTTAGTGACAGCTACAGGGTAAACACTTCAGTCCTTGAATATACAGAATGATGACTTGCACTGCTTCTTTTCGAAGAAGAGACAAACTCATACAGAAAACAGGAATAAACCACCATGATTAATTCAATGTCCTAATTACAGAACCGATTTTTTTTTCTATATTTATATCTAATAATTTTAAATATTTTCTATAGTTCAACAAAAATGTTGAGGCAAATGTTTTGCCATGTCTGCTTCATCAGTGTTTGCTTGAAATTAAAAACTAAACCTTGGAGCTCAATGTGATGTTTATTGCTTGCTGCCAAGGAAACTAAACCTTGGAGCTCAATGTGATGTTTAATGCTTGCTGCCAAGGAAACTAAACCTTGGAGCTCAATGTGATGTTTAATGCTTGCTGCCAAGGAAACTAAACCTTGGAGCTCAATGTGATGTTTAATGCTTGCTGCCAAGGAAACTAAACCTTGGAGCTCAATGTGATGTTTAATGCTTGCTGCCAAGGAAACTAAACCTTGGAGCTCAATGTGATGTTTAATGCTTGCTGCCAAGGAAACTAAACCTTGGAGCTCAATGTGATGTTTAATGCTTGCTGCCAAGGAAACTAAACCTTGGAGCTCAATGTGATGTTTAATGCTTGCTGCCAAGGAAACTAAACCTTGGAGCTCAATGTGATGTTTAATGCTTGCTGCCAAGGAAACTAAACCTTGGAGCTCAATGTGATGTTTACTGCTTGCTGCCAAGGAAACTAAACCTTGGAGCTCAATGTGATGTTTAATGCTTGCTGCCAAGGAAACTAAACCTTGGAGCTCAATGTGATGTTTACTGCTTGCTGCCAAGGAAACTAAACCTTTAGTCTCAATGTGATGTTTAATGCTTGCTGCCAAGGAAACTAAACCTTTAGTCTCAATGTCTCTCCTTTGCCACCATGAGACACAGAACAAGAGAGATGTTTAAGTTTTACAATGGTTCTAAAAGCCGTTGTATATTGTTTATATATGTTTATGACTTTCATTTATCATTCATCATACTGCAAAGCAACCATGAAGCAATTTATATAATTTTAATCATGATACAAAATTTGACAATTTTCTATAATTTCAAATACATTTGAATATGTCATTGGATGTTGAAGAAATTTCTATATCAGCTGTCAAAAAGTAACATCTTTCATCCGGAGATTACTGTATTTACATATAATGTACACCATCATCTACACAGATCATATATCACGAGGCACATTAAAGTCATCTAATAAATCATCTCATTTTAAATTTAATCTCATTTTTAAATGAAGCTTGGCCGGTTTCTATGAATTTTAATACCTTTGAATGTCCAACAATAAACATATTAAATGTCACAAATACACAGGGTCTCTATTAGTATACGGAAATGTTTCAAGAATCCAAGTAAAACAGGTCAAAGTCTATACAGTCTTAATTACGTACCCAACCCTGTGCATATGTATACTGCATAATTATCTATCATTCATAATATTAATAAAAGCAATAAATAAAATTTATTCAGTAACTTCCCCCGAATTCAAATTTTAAACATATTATCAAAAGATGTATGGTGAATTAAGATATATTTGAATGTCCAAGTATTAATGATATAAGCCGACAAAAATCTGCCCATTTTACATATATCCAGTATGATCATCTATCATTTATGATAAGCAGCAATAAATAAAATTTATGAACAAATTTATCTAATAACTTACTACAAATTCAAATTTTAATCTCATTATCAATAGTTGCAGCAAGAACCCTGGAGACCTCTCTATGAATTTGAATAACATTTAATTTTTTTTTTTTTAGATCCATTCTATCTTAAAGCACAACGGGGGACTAAATGTATGATGCAGGCACTCTCCCATATGACCTATTTTATATATATATCAACTTCAGTTGATCAAAAGGCTTGAGGCATGTACTGTCCTGTCTAAATATATATACTCACTGTCCTGTCTAAATATATATACTCAATGTTTAACTTTACCAGATATGTTTTATTTTATTTCTGTTAATCATTTCACCAACACGTTCATTAGTCTTTTAATTCTTGTTCTTATTTTAGGGGTCTTCTGAAAAGTACTATCAGGGGTCTTCTCAAAACCTCTTTTAAATAATGTAAGATCAGTACATGTGGGTCCTCTGGACTTAACAGACATTAAGAAATCTCGTTTGTACTTGGTGTTTTGTGCATTATAGCACTGTCATTGTTGCTGTTGTCAATGTCATTTATGTAGTATTTGTCTTGAAAACGGAGCAGGTATACGTAGCTTTGAAAACGGAGCAGGTATACGTAGCTTTGAAAACGGAGCAGGTATATGTAGCTTTGAAAACGGAGCAGGTATACGTAGCTTTGAAATGGAGCAGGTATATGTAGCTTTGAAAACGAAGCAGGTATATGTAGCTTTGAAAATTTGACAACTGCTGTGTTAATATGCACTGTCCTTATCACTGAAGTGTAATCACATTGAGTTTTTTAGAAACAGGTACATTTGTAGTATAAGATAAAATGATGACAGATGTATCAGTCTGGATATCCATCGTACTTATTGTTTTTACTTTTCTGTTATGCAAGATTGTAATTAGTCACCAATTAAATAAAACACTTATGAAATTTACAGTGATTCAAGTTTAATTGTGTATCATTATCATAACATTATCAAACATTTAAGAGAATTATCAATTCAGAATTTCTGTTTTTATATCATGAATATAATTCTCAATTCAGAATTTCTGTTTTTATATCATGAATATTTTCTATCTAGTAAGATATATCAGTAAATGATTGCACAAATGCTGAAAAGTTTGAAAGTAACAAAACACTGTGTAAATTTTTCACATTTAAGAAAAAAGAATTATGAAGATCTCTTTACAAACTTTTAAGGACAAACTAATGAGATCGGATTAGGAAAGGTTTTACTAGGCTCAAAGCATACCATTGTACATAACACTATATGAAGAGAGAGGGTAAGGGAAGGTTTTACTAGACTCAAAGTATACCATTGTACATAACACTATATGAAGAGAGACGGTAAGGGAAGGTTTTAATAGTCACAAAAGGCAGACTCAAAATAAACCTATCACTATATGAAGAGAAAGGTTGGGGGTATCATACGTACCGATGACAAACTCAAAGTAGTACATATCCTCGATGGCGTCCCGGAGAAGCTGTAGCTCATCCTCGGTGTAAGCAACCTTACAGAGTTCCTTCTTGTCTGAGTTCTCTGTAACGACACAACGAAAGGTCACCTCATTAACACCTTTATAAAACTTGTAAATATTATATAATAGGAGCAGAAAAATGCATGTACCCTCTGAATTCTAGATGGACGCTTTTCCAATTGAGCTACCTGGTCGCCGCCAATCAACCCAGTCCAGTAGAGCTGCATTCCTCCCTCCTTTTTCTAAGTTTTCGCCCACAAAGACACAACTATTTACAACCTAGGTTCGGGTCTCCCTTTGCCAAGCATTCACCCAGTACTTGCCACAAGGTTTGGTCACAGGCACCAAATGTAATAGGAGCGGAAAAATGCACAGCCAAACTAGGGTTTGAACCTGGGACCGTATGAACTCTAGACGAACACGCTCCACCAATTCAGCGATCGCAGTCGTGTCCAGACGATTGTTACAGTTCGGTTCCGCTACAGTTGTACACCAAATATATCTGAGCACTGTTCTAACTAACTACAGATCAACTCTGGTTAGCTTCTACCAGGATCAAAATCCATCTCCAATCTGGCTTATAAATTTGTATTGTATTTTTTTATTTTTTTTTATTTCATGTGATGGGGGAACAAACAGATTAATATACAGATTGAAGTTCTTAACAAATCAAAATTTTGGAACATTTCAGTAATTTCATTCCAGACATATCTAATAACAGAATTTTTTCAGAGTAAACATTACAAGTTAATTTGAACGGGAAGACTCATCCTGTTATATACCAATGCGTAGATTGCTTATCACAAATTTAACCTCGATGTTCAGCAGCTAATAAACTATGGAATATTCTTTATATAGGATACATATAAAATCCGCTTATGAAGGACCATGGTGACAACAATTGGACGTCAAAGAATCATACTGTAAAAGTTGGCGACATCAAGGCCATACTGGTCTTCTCAATTTTCTGTGTAATCACACAATAGTGTGAATTACTCCGTAGAAGTAGGGGAACCTTCACACATATATCTACAAGTCAGGTCATGCAAAAAAAATAAAAAATAAAAATAAAATAGATAATCAGCCAGGTAGGGCATTTCATTACCATGCAGCCTTCAGAAGGGAATGGAAATGTTAGATTTCACACCCAAATTTAATTTTCAACACAAGTACAAATTGGAATTTAAGCTTTAAAATTAGGCAAGATCTGGAGATTGTGCCAGTGATTATCCATGGGGCTTACAAGTTAGCACAAAAAAACATGGATAACTGGAATATATAGCCCTTCCTGAAGCTATAGAAACCCGTTTCGTACACAAAATTACTGATATTTTCTGCGTAATTTTAATCTACTTTGAAACAAAAAAAAATTAGCCAATCTCGTCTGCCACTCGAATGATTTATGAACTTAGTTTAAGCACCTCTTCGCATTTTTCGGATAGATGGTGGATGAGGGAGAATGACGGCCACCAGATGAAACGTGTAGTTTATAATCAGCTTATGGGCCAGCTAATAACACACGAAAACAAATCTTACACTGGAATCAATAGTCTCTAAACTACGGCATTATCTCCATGCTTCTTGGTCTCCCGCAATACAATTAGCCAAAACCAGACCCTTTGTTTTAATGCAACATTTGAAAATGTTTAAAAAAGAAATAATTACTTAATGGTACAACATTTTCAGAAAACTGGTCAATGTGATTATAGCAAATATAAAGATCACACATTTTTATTTATTTTTTATAACTATTGATAACATGAATGAAGGCTAAAGCTAATAAAACGATCATCTTTTTATACAAATAAAATGACATAATATAATAATGAAATTGACCAAAACTGTATTCACACTTCTGCAAATGTAGTGTGACAGACCTAAAAGTGACCACATCTATATTTACACTCACAGATAGAGCTAAAGTGACAGACCTAAAAGTGACCACATCTATATTTACACTCACAGATAGAGCTAAAGTGACAGACCTAAAAGTGACCACATCTATATTTACACTGACATCTGCTTAGAATTTCTTGGTTTTGGTTTGGTTTGTTTGTGTTTCACGACCTACAGCCAGTACCTGTCGACTGCCCCACGTAGGCCTCGAACCCGCGACCCAGTGGTGGAGGGCTAGTGGTAGCAGAATGTCAGACGCCTTAACCACTTGGCCACCCCTGCCCCTCCTAGAATTCAGTCTCATGTTTATCCATCTTATTGCTTTCCCATTTATCATCAGAATACTTTCTGTGAATACTGTATTAATACAGCAATACACCCTTGTCTGATAATAAGCCCACCTATATATATTAAAGATCATAAGACACGCAAAAAACTGTTCTTCCATTGCCCTGTAATAAGCCCACCACAACACTTACAAGTCAGACATTATGTGTTGGCCTCATGGGCCTATTGGAGGATAATATAGTATGTGTTTGTTTTTAAAATATATTCAACCCAGTGTTTTATTTAATTAACCTTCTTGTTCACACCTGAAACATTAAAAAAGAAAACAATGGGAAATGTTTAATAACAAGATTGAAATTTTACGTTTTCAGAATTGATGGCCTGAAACTCCTTTTCTTGCCTTTGTTAGAAATGTCTAACTAGGCTAGAAATGATAACTGACTTGGTTAGTGAGATCGTTTTGCTCTTTCTCTACAGTTTCCTGTTCCTAGTAGTAAACCTGGATATAAACCCTAGTGAAGGCATTGGAAAAATAATGACCTCTGTTATTTTCAAGACGTTTTCTTAAACACAAAGGTATTCCAGGAAAGAACTTAAAACGAAAAAAAAAAATAAAAAAAATAACAAAGGATAATTTTGTTCGAGTTTCCAATGTTTTTTTTTCGTCATACATGTATACTAAGCAATGGTATTCCAAGAAAGAACAGAAGATATTTAATCAATTAACCTTTTTCAAGACAACTATTTTTTTCTTCATACAAGCCTTTACATGACAGGCAATTTTACATAACTTGGGAACTGGAATTTCACACTCAAGCAGGGGTATAGTCATCCCTCTGACCATCACCAAGATGTCTACAGGTAAAATCCGATCTAATAACCTAATCAAGAGAAAGTAATGAATCTTCTTTCAACTTCACGAGTCATAAGAAATAGACCTAATCTAGAACCATGAAAATGAACAAATTCAGGGGAGACAATTACATTAGGTACAGTATCCCAGGGGGAGATAATTATACTAAATACATTCCTAATTTCTTTAATCCTGAATATTTTTTGGGAAAATTAAAATCACTATGATCCAAAACCGAAAAGTAAGAAACAACATTGAATGTAATCTTTAATTATCTTAAATATCTGTATTTGTAAATACCATTTAACTTAATCTAATAAAAAAAAAAAACATATTTAAATTAATGTGGAGAAAAATAACGGCTGGACATTTCTATTGCAGGTAAGCATATCAAAGAGATTATTTTGTGTAACGTAAACTTTCAAATTTCATGTTTTCAATAATAATTCCTCAGCTGCAGGTTATTAGACTTTATTTGTAATCCTAAATAGATTATAGAGTAACTAAACAGATGTTCTTTATTTATTCTGATAAAATTAAATCAGAAAGTTTTCACGGATCCAGTGCCATCTTGGATAGTATGATCATTATCTCATTAAATCTTGAATTAAATATTGAAAATCCTATTCCAGAGGAGATCTACGTCAGCAGTGATGAAGTTCGGAGGGAGTGGACTAATGAAAATACACCGAGGGGCCTCGGGCCTATTTCCTGAAAGATTAATCGGCTAAAAGATTCCACATTAAATCACATCCCCTGTGAAAGCAGTCAGTAAGTTAACTAGGTACCAGGCCTCAGTTTCCAGATGTTTCATAACTTGAGGAAATTTCTTTTCTTGCAAAGCATTTTTAGATATAAGGAAAAATCTTTGGAAACTCCAGCGATCCTTTGAATTCCAATTAGAAAACTTAAATTAAAGAATTCTTTTAGTTTGGAAATGTTCACAAACTTGAGTCAGCAAGTTAATTCTTTTGAAATATTACGAAAAACTTGATTTAAGATAAAAACTAGAAATTGGGAGTGGGACATTCTTAGCACAAGTTTAAGATAACAACACATTTTGAAAATGTATCTGTCAATGATCAAATTGTTCCAGCCTGTTTCCATATTCAAAATATCAGCAGATATCAGCGATTCCTTATGCTAACCATAAGTACAAGCTTGGCAGTACTGTCTAGTTCACTGAAAAGTGTATCTTGTCTCAATCATTGGCAGTACTGTCTAGTTCACTGAAAAGTGTATATTGTCTCAATCATTGGCAGTGCTGTGTAGTTCACTGAAAAGTGTATCTTTTTTCAATCATTGGCAGTACTGCGTAGTTCACTGAAAAGTGTATATTGTTTCAATCATTGGCAGTACTGTGCAGTTCCCTGAAAAGTTCATCTTGTCCCAATCATTGGCAGTACTGTGCAGTTCCCTGAAAAGTTCATCTTGTCCCAATCATTGGCAGTACTGTGAAGTTCACTGAAAAGTGTATCTTGTCTAAATCATTGGCAGTACTGTGAAGTTCACTGAAAAGTTCATCTTGTCTCAATCATTGGCAGTACTGTGTAGTTCACTGAAAAGTGTATCTTGTCTCAATCATTTGCAGTACCACTGTCTAGTTCACTGAAAAGTGTGTCTTGTCTCAATCATTGGCAGTACTGTCTAGTTCGATGAAAAGTGTATCTTGTCTCAATCATTGGCAGTACCGTCTAGTTCACTGAAAAGTGTATCTTGTCTCCATCATTGGCAGTACTGTGTAGTTCACTGAAAAGTTTATCTTGTTTCAATCATTGGCAGTACTGTCTAGTTCACAGAAAAGTGTATCTTGTCTCAATCATTGGCAGTACTATGTAGTTCACTGAAAAGTGTATCTTGTCTCAATCATTGACAGTACTGTCTAGTTCACTGAAAAGTGTATCATGTCTCAATCATTGGCAGTACTGTCTAGTTCACAGAAAAGTGTATCTTGTCTCAATCATTGGCAGTACTATGTAGTTCACTGAAAAGTGTATATTGTCTCAATCATTGGCAGTACTGTCT